GTGTGTTGAAAGCTTCAAAATGTGAGGTTAGACCCTCTTCATGACACACAAACAAATAGACCGTGGATCTAAAAAGGTTCAAAACATTAAAGCTCTTAGATCAACTGCAGTAAATCACTGGGACCTTGGATTAGCATGAGCACACACACACACACACACACACACACACACACACACACACACACACACTACATGTTGGATGAGACCAAGATTAAAAACTTGTGCTTTGCTGAATACCACCAGAAGTTGAAAGGGGGAAAATGTTCAAATCAGATACCTCATGAAAGGCTCACATTATGAATATATAAGGAATTTTAACAACTCAGTAATAGACAAATAACACACCTGAAATGTGCAAAGGTAGTGGAAATGGTCAGTGAGATCACTTTGCAAGCTAGAGTTCCCCAGAAAGTGAGCATGGAGTTATCACATAACACAACAATCCTTCTCCTAGGTGTGCACCAAAGAGAATTCAAAATGTATGAAAGTTCTACTGTGGACAAAACAGTTCATGTGTCCATCAGATTATGAGCAGGTAAAGAAAGGGCAAGAAAACCATACAGTGAAGTGCCACTTGGTGGATGTATGAAGGAAGGAAGCCATGATGCATGCTGCAAGTTGGATGTACCTTCAAGTGCCATGCTTCTCCGATGCTGTCAGGCTGGTGCTCAACTTGAATGTCCCACCATAGTGCCCTGGAGAAGGATTCTGTTCCAGAGGATGTTCGTGTCTCTTAAATACTCTCTAAAGCCAGTGTGGGGGGCATGTGCTCCTGACTATTCATTCCTTTTTCTATAAACTATGTTACCACACAGAAAATGCAAACTCAAAGTGTAAAGTCTTCTCCTAGTGGATACACCCATCATTGATTAAAGTGTAAAGTCTTCTCCTAGTGGACACACCCATCATTGACTAAAATGTAAAGTCTTCTCCTAGTGGACACATCCATCATTGACTAAAATGTAAAGTCTTCTCCTAGTGGACACACCCATCATTGATTAAAGTGTAAAGTCTTCTCCTAGTGGACACACCCATCATTGTGATTCTGGTATCACTTACTGTGTGACCAAAATTTGCTGTTGACACTGATCCAAGTGCTAAGGATTTGTGTACCCTTTATTCCCCCAAAGAAGACATGGACCATCATTTATGCAGAAGCAGTTAATTAGATGGAATTTACCTTTCAGTAATGTATTTCAACTCAAGTTATTTAAAATAATAACAGAAAAAGAATGAGCTCAAAATTTACTTTTCCTCTATAATAAATTAAAACCATACTCTAAGACCAGTCCCATTTACCCCAATTAAGCCATCAGCTTCTAAACAAATGAATTCATTAAATGTGTCCATGAATCAATACATTTTAGTTCAAGACTGTAGCTTCCTTTTTCCCCTTGATGGAAAAACTTCTCTTTTAGAAAATAACTGTGTGGTAATGTAGTAGCAAAAAAAGGTATTTTTTTCTTTGCATTTTATAAATTAAAATTTAATTAAAATTAATTTTTATAAATTAAAAGTTTTTCCTTATGTTTTATACAGATAAAGATGCTGTAAGATACTAAGGGTATGAGCAGCTTTCCCGAAAGCATTTTCACTGCTGAGAGTGTGAATGAGAATCACGTGGGCATCCTGCCAGCCTGCAGACTCTGATGCTGCCAGTCTGGGGTGCCAGTCAGAGAGTGACTTTCATAGCATGCCCCTGCTGATGTTGATAATGCTAGTCCAAAGGCCGGCTTTGAGAGGGGCAAAGGTCTAAAGCAAATTGCTGTGTCATTTCCTTGTTACTTCTAACCAAACATTTGCCACGATTTCCCAAGTATCTGACTATAGGGAATTTATAAAGGACTTCTCAGATTGTAAAAAAAACCCCACACCACCTACACACACACACACACACACACACACACACACACACACACACACACACACGACCTTACCTCCTCTTTGTGGGTTCCTTGTTTTACAGCAGTACCCCCAGTGGATTGTAATTTTGGAAACAAAGCTTTCAAGAAACTAATGGATTTCTCATTGTCAGCACTAAAGCCCTAGCTCTGCCTTACAGTGAAATCTGAAAGCAGATTGATGGCATTTGTCTTTGCATTTCATAGGAAATAATTACCCTAACACTTGACAATTTTTACTCCTCTCTTGGGAGAACCAGTGTCTGTCCATTAAAGAGAACAGTGTGAGAGCACTCTCTTCCACCCACCTTCTTTGGCTATTTCAGAAGCTTTTATTAGAATTTTGATGGCCTGTTTGTATTCTTTGTTTTCCAGCATTCTGTCTGACAGCAATCTGTAGGTCCTCACGAGACTTTCACAGGCCAGCAAGTTGAGAAGTTGACCCGTCTCATCCTTCCATATCCGTCCCTGTGTCAGTTCATGGAATGCTTCATAATGCTGGGCAGCTTCCAGAAGCTCACCTGAGGAACAGAAGCCATTCATAAATATAAATAAAGCACAGGCCAGAAACTTGTTTTCAAAAATTTACATGTTTGTCGGCACTGCTCATAAAGGGTGGGAGAGAAGCAGGGATACTACATGTGTCGGCCTTGCTCATACGGGGTGGGAGAGAAGCGGGGAATGCAGTTCAAAGGCTCTGAACTGGAACAGGATCTACCTCTAATGGGGCCTCAGATTCAGTAGTGAATTCTGGTTAGACATCTCCAAGAGGGGTGGACTCAGCGGTGGAAATGACTGCCTTTGTGCAAGTTCAGAGACAGCACGAAGGCCCATCAGTGGTTACTAGCCTCATTACATGGGCTAGTGTCTCTAGAACAGTGTGCATTCTCCATTTAACCCACAAACAGTCTGATGGTGTGGAATTCACATGGTTCCATTTTACAGAAGGGGGTGTGGAGTCTCAGCTCACCGTTGTGTGCTCAGAGGGAACAGGACTGTGAAGACTCTCAGAGCCTGTGCTCACCACCATTTATCCTCATTGCTCTCCAGAGACGCAACTGCCTCACTCTTGGCGAGCATTTAGGTACCATGAGAGACATGCACCAGCTACACATTTCAGATGAACGCAGCGGGTTGTAAATCTGCTTCTCGGAGTTTGAAGGGGCACCACCCCACCCCCTCCCCTGTCGTCTGCCTCGTTCTGGACGAGGAGAACCTCGCTAAGTTGTTCTGGATTTTACATCTTATCAGTCATGTCTCTTCTCAAATCCCAAACTCTAAATTAGCCTTAAACCATTTCATTCCTTAAAACACGAGGCAGTACGTTTCTGGGAGAGCAGTTTGCCATTCCACACCGCAGAAAAACTGTTTTATATGTTCATCGCCTGCAGAAACATCGCCCCGCTCCGCCAGCAGAAGCAGCTTTGGCAGCATTGGAGTGACATCACTTGTCTTGACGAGACCAGCTCACCTCGGCATTTCAACTGCAGCAATTAAAAGTGAGAAAATGTTCCAAGCAGACAGCCTGCTCTTATTTCCATTTTCTTCCTTGTTTGGGTAGACTAATTACTGCCCCCCTCTGCCTTAGTTTACCATTCTGTGAAATAGGCACAGAGTGAATTAGTTCACATTCAGTGTATTACAGAGTCAGTGTAAAATATACATAGAAAGTGTTATCAGTTGGCACAGTAATAGCATTTCTGCAATAACTAACAATCAATTGTAGTACAGTCATTATATTTATACTTTAATTCAGCTTATCCTGCAAAATATAAGAATTAGTCCCTCTAACAATATTACCATGACAGTTTAACCCAAACAGTTCATTTCCACAAATTGTTTCATTGGATAGTGTAGGCAGGGATGCTGCTGCCTTGACTATTTATATAATCTGTCAACACTTGTTATACTGACTTTGTTACTGAGACTACTATTAGCAAACACTAATAAAACCAAGAGTGTTGGCACATGCCTGTATAACCCCAGCCCGTGGGAAGAGGGTATGAGAGGGTCAGGGTTATAAATAGAAGACATTGCATGACAGGGTCTCAAAAACTACATCAGAAACAAGAGTGATATTTCCAAAGAAAGCTAGACAAAGTGGAGAGTCACCAGCAAATAAGTGGTAGCAAAATACAGTCAAATCATAGCCAGTATGAGTTCTTACCTTCTGTGCTGGGGTGGGAGTAATCAAAGATACCTAACCAGAAGGCAAGGAGTCCTGTGGAGCTGTTTAGAAACCTATCAAACAGCTTTGGAAGAGAGGAGAGCACACAGCCATAAATTGATATCGCTGAAGAATACTTCATGTCATAGGTTTTTATAATGAATGAAAATATCAGAAAACATCTACAAAGCACTCTCTCTGGGAGAAGGGCTATGGTGGTAGATGGTTTCATTTTTTATTTTCATTTTTTTTATTTCACTTTATTTCTGCCTATTGGTATTTTTGAGAATTTCTGTCATCAAAATATATTTATTTAGTACTAAAAAATATACAACAGAAGTCATTAAAAAATAATGCACTGTCCCTTTTTGCTTCAGAACAGATGTAGACAGCGGACACCCACTGCTTCAATCTGTTTTTCCTTGCAGCTGATGACTTTTGTACCTCCTGTAAAGGTCAGCGTAGTTTCTCATCGATGCCTATAATACCTCTCACCAGAAATACCTGTGACCCTCATTTTGGAACTTCAATGGAGCACTGGTGTGTGTGTGTGTGTGTGTGTGTGTGTGTGTGTGTGTGTGTGTGTGTGTTTTATGCCTTCTGTTAAATATACTTCTGCCCACAAAGTATTGCTTTGTGACTCTGCAGAGATGTGCACGAAAGCTCTTTTTCCTTTTTCAGTGTCCATAAAGTGGGGATACATTTTGTACCATGTGAATAGGGAATAGTGGATACAGAAAACTGAGAAAATCGGGGAGTTCCAGAAAGAAAACAAAACAAAACAACAACAACAAAACTGTAAAGTAGATGGCACTCTAGATAACACAATTAATTTAAATGAGATGTAAATGAGGCATGATGGTTCAAATAAGAAGTGAGATATCCTTGTCCAAATTTGAGGGTAGAAGTTGAAGGCAGGGAGAGGAGGAGGGAACGGAGGTGAACCCGAGGACAAAGGGGTGGAAAGGGCAGAGCTACGGTTTCTATTCCCTGTGAGTCACACATCCTCCTTGCTGCTGAGTCTTGAGAGCTGTTAGGTTTTCAGGATAGACCCAGATGTGTAAGGAGGAATACAGTCTGGGAGGATTTGGGGTTACTGCTCACTATGAAAAGCCATCTTGGAGCAATCAGAAACGGTCTTTTTGTATGAATCTGGGGTTTTCTAGAGCTCTGGAGACTGCCTATTTCAAGACTGTCTGGGATTCAGTATTCAGAAGGGTGCTTTGTGACCACCATGGGAAAGGGGCCTAAGACAAGCGCTTGGGTGACAAAAACAGGAACCCCCTTTCCTGGAGGGGAGGCATTGATCAAAACAAAGGTTTTCTTCCTCACACGTTATTTTTTAAATGTGCCTCAGACTGGTGGATATAATTTCCAATTTTCCACAAATGGGGAAACTGATGCTCACAAATCAGAAATGGTCTTTTTGTATGAATTTGGGGTTTTCTAGAGCTCTGGGGACTGCCTGTTTCTGAGTAAATTAGTGACTGAAATTTGTAAACCACATTTAAAAATTTTATGATTAGAGGTTGAATTCCTGATCATCAAAACCCCGAATAACCAGTTCTACCACCTCAGCTACAGCATCACAAACTGTCAGGAACATAAGTTGCCTCACTTAAAATTGCAGGCCTACACCTCTCTCAAGCAATGCTAGAGTTAACGCTCATGGGTCTCTCCTAGGCCGATAATATTGTCACTCGAGCTGGTCGGCCTTGCAACCATTAACAAGAAAGGAAGTGCCCAGCCCTCGTGTGCTTCTGGTCGGTCTTCCTGAATATCCAGTTTCATAATCAGCTCCATTAAAACCCTCTGTTTTCTCCTCAACCATGGGGGGACACCTCAGGGACATTTTGAATTCTTTGGATGTCCCAATGTAGTGACTTCAGCCAACCAGTCATGGCTTCCGTGCCACCTGTCACTGATGAGGCTGGTCCCCGGGGTTCTGATCAGCGCTGCTTCAAGTGGAAGGACTTGTACAGAGGAGAGCTTTCCAGTCCTTCTCAAAGGTTTCAGTCCTCCAGTTTCTTAATAGAAGTGAATAAGGCAGTAAGGACTTGATTCAAAGGACCACAAGTCCACAGGTGGCTCAACCACAATGTCCAAAGGCTGGTTGGAACTTGAAAGCACACATTATAATGCAGCATATACTTGACTTAGAATACTAAAAGATATGCCTATGCCATGATAAGATTATCATAACTTAAATGCAGTTACTCCCTTGAAGCAGGATCAATAGTGGTATGATTTCTGTCCAATCTATCTCCAACAGCAACAAGGACATTAGTAATTATTTTATACTGTAAGTAAGTGTTCTGATGCCAGTTGAATAGGTATCTATTGCAATATAATGCACACCACTTTTATCTGAAAACTTTCACAATGTTACTAAAGTTTTGGAAAAGGCCATAAACAAAACTCATTTTGACCAAGCTAAGAGCAAATACCAGTGATGATAACAAGCCAGTATAGTAGTTACTTCACTTAGAGAAGAAAGGATTTATTTGGGATTATGGTTCCAGAGGGCAAGAGTCCATGACGGTGCAGTGGAGGCAGGCAGCCAGTGGCAGGCATGGTAGCTGGAGCAGCATGTTCACATCTTGAACCTCAAGCACGAAGCAGAAATTTTGCAATATATTTGATTACACTCTGTAAAGACGTGTCACTGTGGTTGGTTTAATAAAAAGCTAAATGGCCAATAGCTAGGTAGGAAGTATCGGTGGGACTTCCAGACAGAGAGCACTCTGGGAAGAAAGGTGGGTCACCAACTGGACACAGAGAAAGCAGGACATACAGGAGGAGAAGTAAAAGCCACAAGCCAAGTGACAGCATGTAGATTAATAGAAATGGGTCATTTAAGTTATAAGAGCTGGTTAGAAACAAGCCTAAGCTAAGGCCAAGCTTTCATAATTAATAAGAAGTCTCTGTGTCATTATTAGAGAGCTGGCTGGTGGGACAGAGAAAGACTCGTTACACAGAGAGAACAAACTAGAAATAGACTGCTCATCTTCACACTCTCAAAGCTCCTCCTCCAGTGACATACTTCCTCCTACAAACTTACACTGCCCCAAAGCTCCCAAACAGTGCCATTAGTCAGGGACCGAGTAGGGGATATCTCATTGAAACCACTACAGCTAGATTTTCAAATCTGGCTCATGACAATCTTTGTAACTCCTTTGAAGTGTTCATATATAATCTACCCTTCATTTCCAAAGAAAATTTAGCATATCAGGACCTGGAGAGATGGTTCTAGACCCCACCATGAGTCTTTTAGAAGGGTAAGAGTGAGTGAGCAATGTGAGTATCTGAAGTCCGTCATCCTCTGTGATTCTCAAGTGTGGGCACTGTTTTCCA